AGAACCCGATGATCTCCACCTTGACAGCTTGGTGGAAAACCCTTGAGATTGGAAACCTGTGGTCTGATAAGCTCATGACAGCCTCTAATCTCATTCAAAGATTTGGATCAGGCAACAATCAAAGGTTTCCTACACTTCACAGCCCTTCACCCTCTACAAACATCTACATTTGTAAAAGAGATCTCAAATCTTTAACTTTACCAAACAAACAAAACTCTCTCAAAACTGTGCAGAGTAATTTCAGTCACAGAATTATTATCCGTCTCCCAAAGGACCTTTCAACTGTCTTTGGAGCCTGATTTTTGGACGGAAATTCACTCATTCAATGCAAAACCTTAATCACATAACACAGGTTGAATAATATGGGTTTCTCTGATTCTGACATTTGCGCTCAATGTACTCAAAACACCACAGATGCACATTTCCATGCATTATGGCTCTGCTCACCTTTGCAGCATTTTTGAGTTGAAATCCCTGAAAAGATTTCCTCCTCATTTGTGCTTACTTAGCATAACCTCCGTTTATCTTCCAACCAAGCTGTTTAAATTCACACTCACTGCTCTAACCATGTACAAGAAAAAAAAACTTGTTAACTAGAAAAATTGGCAAATGCTTAGTATTGATACCCTAATAATCTCCTAATTAATCACACATCAATGGAAATAGTTTTTGCCTCCATTAAAAAGAATCACAGCAAGTTAATTGGGTGAAATGAGATCTCTGTTTAACACACAACGTACAAACTACAAATATTATTAATTGTCAATCATAGTAAAGACGTATAAGTGTTACTGTATAAGACGGTAACACTTACTGTAGTTACATGCTGCGTCCACTAGAGAGCAGACTGACTGCAGCCAACATTCAGGACTGCTGTGCGGGATCACTGCATGGAAACACCAGGGATGGAAAGGAGTGCAGCACTTTATCACTGTAGCAGATCATGTAGCTGCAGATCAGCTGGAGACTTTGACTCTGAATAGAATAGAATAGAATAGAATAGAATAGAATAGAATAGAATAGAATAGAATAGAATAGGCCTTAACTGTCGTTGTACATGACATTATGGGTGCTCCACAACAACTGTGCAGGAATAAATAACAAACCAGAGGAAAATGTATAAAACAAGACAAAGGCACACATTGGAGGACAAACTCCTTGGAAGTGCAAAAGAACTTGGTCTGAGTACAGAGACCATATGTGAGTGGACAGAGTGATGAGGGCTGCTCAGACCATGGCTCAGATTGGTGTCATGGGTCCAGGTGACATCAGCAGAGATGTGGGTGCCCTGAAGGTGATCTAGTTTGGTGGTGAGGATGTTTGGTATTATGATGCTGAATGCTGAGCTCTAGTCCACGAAGAGCATCCTCATGTAGTGCTTCCTGTTCTCCAGATGGCTCAGTGCTCTATGAAGGGTGATGGTGATGGTGACGGCATCCTCCGTGGACCGATTTGCTCTGTAAGCAAACTGGTGGGCTCGGGTGAGGGGGGAAGAGAGGCTCTGATTTGCTGAGACACTATCTGCTCCAAACGTTTCAGACCTGAGGTCAGCCTGGTGAGGATCCCTGCCAGTTATAAATAACACTACAAATAAAGCCAAACCTAAAAGGATACAGATGCTTATGCAGAGTGAAATTCTCACACAGCAGAAATTCAACAGGACCTCAACAAAGCATCATAAGAACAGGAAGAACATAAATACTAACTGTCGAAAAGTCAGGTAATCATATGCATCTATATTCATTCAAAGTTAATTATGGCCATGTGAAATTAAAAAGGGAAGAAAAAAGAAAGAGAAATAGAAATAAAGCTGTCAGGGTGAAAAAAAATAGTGAAAAAAGGTAAGAGGAAAAGATGCGAAGGTTTTAATCCCGTATCAACACACTGTGATGGTGTCGGCTTTCTGTTTTGTGTATTTGATGAATATTCTTCCTCGTGTTGTCATATCTTATGTCAGTTTCTCTTTGTGGTTTGGATCACAAACACTGCTCTGCTTTATTTTGGTTGCTGGTATTGTCTGAGTCCCGTGTCCCCTTTTCAAACTAACAAGGACAAAACTATTAACTGTCATTATTGATCCCTTAACATTAAAGTGCAGCAGCTGCTTTACTTCTCATGCATAATTAATGAGAGTTTACTGTTAAAAATCAATAAAATTAGAATTATGTGTACTAATGATTAGTAATGTATATTTATGTTACCTTTGACTGCTCTGTTATTCACTAGGGCGGTGACTTTATAATTTACTTTACATGTATGCACTGTAGCATAGCTGATAAGAGGCAGTTACTATCACAGTTTGATATTTACACACAGATTATGGATTCGTTTACTTTCCCTCTGTGTCGAATATGCAGTTTAGTCAAAGTGAAATCAAAATCTGTCCGTTGTTGCTGATCTCAAACCAACCTGTTCTACTTCCTGTGGCTCATAAAGGAAAGCAGGTCACCTACGTCTGAACGCCCAATATCCTCGGCCAAGACACGAACCCCAAGATGCTCTTCGATGCGTCCATCAGCGTGTGAATGTCAAATAAAAAGCATAAAGTAATCTAAAA